GAGAGGCGGGGCATAGAGGGCCTACAATAATGTACAGTATTTGAAAAATAATGTGTTTTTTGAACATTAAAGCATGTCAACATATTCTGTTACACCAAATACACAAAATAATGATCTTTAAAAAAGCATCATATGACCCCTTTAAATCTGCCATAGGCCCACCTTTATTTAAACATTATCTGTAGTCAGAGGACATCTAGAGTACTTTTAAAAACAGTTTGCAATGATATTGATCAAAATCTAAAAATAAATGATTGCTTATTTTGCCTGTCACTAGATGCTTCATCACGCCAGTCTCCGTCAGGACATCTGTTACTCAGTGTAATTTACAGGGTTCTGTGGCCGTCCACAGCTTTTGTCATGTTTGACAGTCTTAAGCTTTGTTTACGCTGCACACATCCAATTTGGTTTTCAAATATGATCTTCAGGAGTGACTGTCTGCATTGTCATTTTTCACATGTGGATGTGGTTTGGATTGGGTTTGTAAACATCAAATTTCTTTTTCCTTTTTTTATGCAGACAAAAAAAAACACCTAAACAAATTTGAAATGGATAAGTCAAACAATGAGATTTTGCTGCCTTTCCTAACTAAGACATATTGTTTGTTTGGTCATCAAATCAGATTTCTCCATCCATTAATGGGATGCATTATAATGAAAGTATCATGAAATTTTGTAATCTTGTCTCAAGATACTTTTTATGTATGCATGTGCGTACACACACACACACACACACACATATATATATATTCATATATAGTTTGTATTAAGTTGTATATTGTATTAAATGTATTAAAAATGTTAATTGTTATAAAAATAATTTTACAAATATATGTACATTATAAAAAATAATTTCAGTGTAAAAAGCAGATCAGTGTATGAATTACATTTTATTATTACATTCAGAAATAATGTAAAATACCAGTAAATAAAATGAAACATTTACAGACATTTTAAACTATATATATATATATATATTTATATATATTTTACATACACTTAGCAGTATCTGCAAAATGTTAATTATTTTACCAAAATACGAGGGATCATACAAAATGCATGTTATTTTTTTTAGTACTGACCTGAATAAGATATTTCACATAAAACGCGTTTACATATAGTCCACAAGAGAAAATAATAGTTGAATTTATAAAAATGACCCCGTTCAAAAGTTTACATACGCTTGATTCTTAATACTGTGTTGTTACCTGGATGATCCACAGCGGCATTTTTATTTTTTTTATTTTTTGTGATAGTTGTTCATGAGTCCCTTGTTTGTCCTGAACAGTTAAACTGCCCGCTGTTCTTCAGAAAAATCCTGCAGGGCCCGCAGATTCTGGTTTTCCAGCATCTTTTGCATATTTGAACCCTTTCCAACAATGACTGATTTTGAGATCCATCCTTTCACACTGAGGACGACTGAGAGACTCATACGCAACTATTACAGGCTCTTTATGCATAGTTTTTCCTTCTGGAGCGTCAGTGAGTGTTTGAACCTAGATAACGTGTTACACAGAGTAATGTAAATGGCAGATGCTGTGCATGCATTTGAAGGCAGCTTTCTGTTTTGGTCTCTCTTAGAAAGAGGCAAGCACACTAAACCCAAATGTGTATCGGCTACTGTCAGGAATAGGCATGGGCTGGTATGAGATTTTGACGGTATGATAACCTTAAGCAAAAATATCACGGTATCACGGTATTGTTGTTACAGCTCTAAAATGTGTTATTTTTAAACTTTTTTCGCTGAACACAATATATTTAGTTTTTGAGCAACATACAGAATATTAGGAACAGTAGAATATTTATTTTTTCTGATTGATTTGTTTCCTAAAAAGAAGAAAAAAGGCTGACATCTTTATTTAACCTAAATCTGTAATTACAGTTATTTAATTTTAGTTATATAATTTCATATACATCATTTGATTTAATAATAACCCAATTTGAAGCAAAAACAGAATGTTCTGCCTAGCTTTGTGAAATTATACTACTTGCCTGAACGAAACAAACAGCAGAGGCTCTGAATGAGATGCAGATTCACTCTCTGACAGCAGGAGGCGCTTCTGCAGCGTTTCCTTGGTTATCGCAGTAAACAAAGCAGAGCTGCGCTGAAACACTGCTTTAATGTGAATTATACGAGATGAAAAGAAAATACCACCTAAACTTTTCTGAAGACTTTTCTGTCAGTTCCCCTCAGAAACACATTCATATAAACCCCCAAATCAATATTGAGGATTTTCTTCCAATAGTTCGTGCATCATGAACAGTGAGTGATCTGCCTGCTACAGTATTTTTCTCTGTGCGTCCATCTTCAGCGTCTCTGGCCTCTGTTAACAGGTGTTTAAAGACTTCATATTTTTACATAAATTACATTTTGGAAAATTATTGCATTGCAACGCATTTTGTGCAAGTCCAGAACAGAGACGACTTGCAATAACACAAAAAACGTCTGGTTGCCGATCGCGTAAGTTCCGGGGGCAGCTCCTTAATTTCGTCCATCCTACACACACGTGACTTACCGCTGGCTCGCACCAACAGGAGGAGGAGGATCGTGTTACTCTCTACACTGCACTCAACCTGAGGGATTCCTACACTTTCAGTCTTTGAGGACTGAATAAAACAGTGCTTAATAAAACAGTGCATACCGCAGGAACGGTATAACGGAAAAGATTAGTGGTTTTGAAACCGTGAAATTTTCAAATCGCGGTATACCTTGAAACCGGTAATCGGCCCATGCCTAATTAGGGATGCACAATATATCTGTGTAATATCATGAATGACCAATATTAGTGAATTTTTAAATTATCACTATTAAATGTTTAATTGTGGATGCTCATTTCTGCTAACAAAACATTTTAAAATGTAATTTATTCCAGTTCTTCTAAATATTTTAATATCTATTTTTATATCATATAATTCATTTTTTCCCCAGTATTTTTAATGAATGTGAAGTTCAGAAGAACAGCATTTATTTGGAATGGATTTTTTTTTGTAACAATGCAAGTCTTTACTGTCACTTTTCATAATTATACTATTCATTTCTTTGGAAAAAAAAATCTGGCCCACACATTTGAATGGTAGTGCATGCATCATGTCAGCAGCCATAAAAATAGAGTATGTTTTTTACAAAGTGCATTGTAAATGTGATTGTTTGTCATTTATACAGCATATTCATGTTTATTGTGGACAGACAAACTGCTTGTCGTTAGGACACTGTAATTCCTCTGAACACACAGTAGCATTCCAGAAACACATTCTTCAGTTTCTGCATGTTTAAAAAAACACGTCAACATTGTGAAACCAAGACCAATATTCTAGAACAACCATTGATTATTTTTAGAGCACTTAACAACAGATAGGAACAGCTGTTTCACTCTGGGCAGATGACTGTGTGTGTGTGTAAGCTTTTGTAATTTTGTGTGTGTGTGTGTTCTAAAGGCTAAACAGAAAGACTATTCACTGAAGCTTAGTCACCTGTTGTAATTTTAACATTCCACTACAGCCAACTGTGTGTGAGAGCGGGAGAGAGATTTGTTTCGCTGTGGATGTTATATCGGCCTCCATCAATCCCGCTGTCAAACACAACAGAGAAGCCATCGCCATCCCTTCGTGCTACACAAAGATTTGTCTTTGTCTGATAGCTCTTTATGCTGCTGCATTTGTGCTCAATTAGCTCTTAAATGTGTCAAAAACAAAAGTGCATCATGGGAGAGGAAAGACCATGTCACGACTGTGCTTTGTGAGAAGGCTTAGTGCGCTAGTGGGGTCAACAGATTGATTGTGTTCACAGAGAGAGAGCGATGGCTGGGTCGAACAGAACCGGGTGGCAGAAAAGAGAGGGAAAGACACATAGAAAGACAAATAGTATGTGTTGTGAATGAGGTCAGCCTGCATGGAGGGGGGTGGGTGATTGTCTGTGTGGTTTCACAGGGTGTCTGCGCTTGGACAATGAAGCATTGTGTGTTCAACATTACCCTCTCACACACACATGACATCACTGCTCCGGCATATGGGATGTGACCTTGGTTACAGCTTCCTGTTTGAGACTTTTTGCACCATCGGTGTGACCAGCACAAAGCTGATTGTGTGAGGCTTTGCATTCTTTCACTCTTTAAATGTTCAGCAAACCTCACAACATTAGCTAGCCACACAGATAATTGATAGTGACCTTAAATGAATTTGGCTTTATGACCCCCCAAATCAATATTGAGGATTTTCTTCCAATAGTTTGTGCATCATGAACAGTGAGTGATCTGCCTGCTACAGTATTTTTCTCTGGCCTGTGTTAACTGGCATTTACAGACTTCATATTTTCACATAAATTAAATTTTGGAAAACGATTGCATTGCAACACAGTTTGTGCAAGTCCAGCCAGAACAGAGACGAGTTGCAATAAGACAAAAAACGGCCGGTTGCCGATCGCCTAAGTTCCAGGGGCAGCTCCTTAAGTTCGGCCACCCTACACGCACGTGACTGACCTCTCGCACCAACAGGAGGAGGAGGCTCGTGTTACTCTCTACACTGCACTCAACCTGAGGGATTCCTACACTTTCAGTCTTTGAGGAGACACGAAAAACAGCGCATACCGCAGGAACGGTATAACGGAAAATATTAGCGGTTTTGAAACCGTGAAATTTTCTAATCTCGGTATACCTTGAAACCGGTAATCGGCCCATGCCTAATTTACTTATTAATTTAATTTAAATTAGTTTTAGTTAACTATAACGACACTAGCTTAAAGCTTTTCCATATATTAAAACATCCCATTGCATGAGAATTGCAATTAAGGCTTTTTATTTGATCATCAAACATTGGTGTGTGCTGTTGTGCTTACATGAAAAACAGCGCATACCGCAGGAACGGTATAATGGAAAATATTAGCGGTTTTGAAACCGTGACATTTTCAAATTGCGGTATACCTTGAAACCGGTAATCGGCCCATGCCTAGTCAGGAATGTGCTAAAACAAGTCCAGAGGCCTGTGGGGGGGACTAAGGTCTAACAGGAAGTGGTCAGAGCCGTTTTGATGCTGTAGATATGAGGCACAGCGATGAGGGCCCTACAGAGATGGAGTACTAGTGTATATACTGTGCGGTATATAGTTCATACTGCCTACCGTTTTGTAAAAACATGAAGCCGTATGCATCTAAAAAAACTGTACTATTTCCCCCCCCCTCATTTCTGACGGAAAAGCATGAGACCCTTTTAACTTGCATAGTAGTGCAGAAAATGCTTTAATCGCAGTGTCTTATTCTTGACCGATCTGTTTGAGGTAGTGTTGTGTCCTCATACGGATGAACTTTGAGTGTTTGTTTATCTGAGAGCTCTTATCTGGTCTTGCATAAGGCATGTTTGGTTTATCATCTTAAATGTTTATGCTTCCATTTTTTTTTCAAAACCGATCCGATACCAAAAATTGAGTATCGACTGATACCGATCCAATACAGCACAGGTTTTTTTTATTTTTGTTTTAGAATTTCTATACCTCTGTGTGTTGACCTGATCATCACTGTTTTGTGTGGTTAACACAATCTACTAATACAGACAACTTCATTATACAGAAAAATAACAAATGAAAAAATACATAATCATAATCTATGAAAAAAAAAATATTAATAATCTAGTTTAGTGGATAATTCAGCAGCAAAAGTTACAATAAAATTAGTGCAATTTTATAAAATCTAAACATTTATAACTATTTAGTTTTAACTTGCATAGTAGTGCAGAAAATGCTTTAGTCGCAGTGTCTTATTCTTGACCGATCTGTTTGAGGTAGTGTTGTGTCCTCATACGGATGAACTTTGAGTGTTTGTTTATCTGAGAGCTCTTATCTGGTCTTGCATAAGGCATGTTTGGTTTATCATCTTAAATGTTTATGCTTCTGTTTGTCTGTCTCAGAAGAGAAGCCCGTCGGGTTCAGGTTGAAACCTCCCACACTCATTCATGGCCAGGCCCCAAGCGCAGGTAAGATCAACTCATTCCTGCTTTGAACGTTTACTACATCTAAACACACGTGCAACACATGAATGTGCTCTTTAGAGCACGAAAGATTAGGGAAATTACTCGCAATGTGTCTGACTGACTGTAAAGCTTCCTCTTTCAGTACTTTTTTTTTTTTAAATGTCATCTTGTGCGTTTGAAAGCTCCCTAAATAGATTAAGACAAATTGCTTAAATGTTTAGCTATTCAAATAGATCTTGCTTGGAGTTACAATAAAATTAGTGCAATTTTATAAAATCTAAACATTTATAACTATTTAGTGGGGAACAAATAAAAGTGAATAAATGTAGGACTAAATCTGGTAAAATATGACACATTGCTCTTTGTATTGTTGTAAAATACATTCATGAAAAACAAGTAAATAAATTTAGATATAACTGTATACTGTAAGACATTTCTTTTAAATGTATAGCACAGTAATTAGGCAGCAACATATGATAGATAGGACAGAACAAGAAAGGCTATTTACAATCTTTCATTGCGCAAAAGTATTATGATATGAAATGCTCCAATACAGAGTGGCACAAATCGCTTATGCGCATCCCGTGTGCAGAATTATGCGCTTGAAGCTACACAGAGTCACAGCACGCTGCGCTCTGCATAGAAAAGTTCAAAGTACAAAGGGAAGAGATATTGATGCGTAGTGTATGATATATGTGCGATAGAGTCTTTTCTTTGAACAGTTTTACATTTCAGTTACTGTGCGCGTGAAGAACAATTCTTAGTGCTCTCTACTCCAGTGTTGTGATCTAACAGACACCCGGTAGAAAGTAACATGCTTTAGAAACAGCACTAAACTCCAGCAAGATAAAGTCCTTACAGGCAAAACCACTAATCTTTATCTACAGATCAAGTATAATAATAGCAACATTGTATAATTTTGGAGAGAGTTTCATCGTCTTGACTGTCGTAACCGAACGTGACACGCAGTTTGAATGCTGAATGAATGACAGCCGCAGCAGAGAGAGAGTTTACACAAACTTGAACTTAATGACTTAAATATTTATCTGTACCTCACATTAAACTATGGAACGGTTTCAGAACACTTAGAATATAGTGCATGGAAACTTTATGGTGATTTGTTGTGCCTTTCCAGTGACACGGAATAGTATACGCACAATATCGTCTCGTCTGACCGATACCCGATCCAGCAGAAAATGGCAGTATCGGAGCTGATGCCGATACTGAGTATCAGATCGGTGCATCCCTAGTTGTGCTGCGGCGTTTGGTTTCTGATTCAATCCGTTAGTAGGTTGTTTTCCAGGCGTTCCCAGTCAGAAGCCCAAAGAACAGCAGCGCAGTGTTCTGAGACCAGCCGTTTTACAGGCGCCTCCGGCCAAAACCCTCACAGAACCCGCCAAGACCAGTACGTACATCTCGTATAATGCTCACTGCTGGCTTTCACAGCAACAGAATCTGTGGAGGCCTCAGTCTGTTCTGTATAGATTCATATTTCAGGCTCATTTTGTGCTTGGAATGAATATGTAATCCTCAGTCAAAACTACCCAGTTCTCCTGAAATCTATTTTATTTTTTCACAAATTTGGTTTAATGTTTTAATGGGCTAATTAATTTCTAATAATTGAAAAGCATGTCAGATTTTTTTTTCATAAGTTTAGTCAAATTTTTTTAAATGCAATTATTCATTCATTTCATGTTTATATATTTCATTTTAAAGCGTTTCCTGCTTGTATGACTTCCAAAATCTACAGAATACGAAAAATAAACTTTGTCAAGTGAATATTGAGAGAAATAAGTGTTTATTTCAGTTGGGTTTTTACTCTGTCTCATGAGGTATTCGGCCAATCACAACGCACTGGATAGCTGGCCAATCACAGCACACCTCGCTTTTTCAGACCGATGAGCTTTGTAAAAATCGACGCGTTTCAGAAAGGCGGGGCATAGAGGAGAAACAATAATGTACAGTATGTGGAAAATAATGTGTTTTTTGAACCTTAAACCCCATAAACACATTTCATTACACCAAATACACCAAATAATGTTCTTTTTAGCAACATCATATGACCCCTTTAAGGTATATTATTTGTAAATATCAGCATTATATTGGCCATCAATCACCTTGCTCTTTAGATATATTAGTGTCGCCTAGTTAACGTTTCGGGTGACCACTAGTATTCATGACTCAGAGCTGTAATACATGTGTTGATAGTGTGATGCTGTGAGTTTATGCCGTTGTTTTCACTCGTAGACTCCAGCTGTGGAACAAATGGAGTGGGGAAGTTTGGAGATTCATCATCAGAGAGCCGATCCGTTTTCCTGAACAACACAGAGAGCTCGGACAAATCACCGGTGGGGACATGCGGCACAAACATCTGAGATGGAAACACTTGATAAATAAACCACAACTAATTGCATCCTGTTTAGAGCATCTCGTAAATATCAGCGTCACCTGTAGTCATTGCTCATGGGTGCTTAGGAATTCATAATTGATGACTAATAAATATAACTGTATGAAATTCTGATCTGATCTAGTTCCAGCATTAATGCAGTTTCATTTTAGAGTTAATCGTCTTGGTTTTCAGCAGCAGGAATGTGGTGTAATTGTGCTGAACTGTGACATTTCGAAGGTGTTTCGCTTCTTGAATTATGAAATATTTACTATATAGAGACTTTATTATACAGACTTTATTGAAATAGGCTTAAATTTTCACAATCTTGGCAAATCTTAGCAAATATAATCTTACTAAGACATTATTGGGAGATATAATGAAAAAACTCATATTTCTATGCATTGTAAGTAGTCTGTTATACTGTTATAAAGATCTCATTGATTTACATTACAAGCATCAGAATTTCATCTTACCGTTTGGCCATATAAATGTCAGCATCTGCACCATATTGCATATTTTTGCTCAGTTTGGGCTTTTGAATAAAACTGAGGTGTTTTTTCCCCCTTGATTATGAGCTCCATATTCTCACTATATCATAGAGCAGGGATCCTCAAATCTGGCCCACGAGATCCACTTTCCTGCAGAGTTTAGCTCTAACCCTAATCAAACACACCTGAGCATGCTAATCAATGTCTTCAGGATCATTAGAAAATCACAGGTAGGTGAGTTTGATCAGGGTTGGAGCTAAACTCTGCAGCGCATTGGCCCTCCAGGGCAAGATTTGAGGAACCCTGTCATAGAGGGTTTCTGTGGGTCTTAAAAAGGTCTTAGAAAGTCTTAATTCACCCTTCCACAAATTAAGGCATAGAAAGTCTTAAATCAGGGCAGCAAGTATTAAATTCATGAAGTCATGGCATTCACACCAAAAAAAAAAAAGTATATCTTCCTCAGTATTTCTGTTTTCCAATACAAATATCTAAATGTCCTTAAATCAAGATTTGAGATGCGAATTGAACATATGAAGTCTTGTTTTCTGGGAAACTGAACAAAATTAAGTGAGTTTATGCTCAAACAAGAACCAAAATCTGTCAGTGGGGTATAACATTTTTTTTTGCCTTTGAATTTAGTTGATTTTTCTGAGCCCATTGGCTGATATTTTTCTTTTTAATCAAATACCATGTATTTTGATCAATTTCTCAGAAAGACTTCTTATGTCATTTGCTTCACAAGTAAATGTATTTTGATTTATGAATCTTTAGACATTTGCACTTAGTCAAATTTACCTTCATAAACCCTGCAGTCTCAAAAGGTCTTAAAGTCTTAATTCACCCTTCCACAAAAATTAAGGCCTTAAAATGGCCTAAACTTCCTTAAATCAAGATACGTTTAACTTTAGATGCAAACTGAACATATGAAGTCTTGTTTTCTGAGAAATAGAACAGATTTGAGTTTGTGCTTGAAACAAGAACAAATATCTTTAAACGGGGAATTAAGTTGATTTTTCTAAACCTATTGGCAGATATTTGTCTTTGTTTTAAATTAACTCACTTTATTTTGATCAATTTCTCAGAAAACAAGACTTCTTTATTTTCATTTATCTTAATGTATTTTGATTTATGAGTCTTTAGATATTTACACTGGAAAACGAGACAAAAATACAGATGAAGAACATCACCTTTTTGCAGTGTAGTAATAAAATACCTTTGCATTCAGAGACCAAATTGACGTATTGTTTTCCATTGAGTTTTTTCCTTAAATTTTCTTTATTTGGTCTTAAAAGTCTTATTTGCCTTCATAAAACCTACAGAAACCCTCATGCTATAAGAGTCATAAAAGCCTGTTGTATCAAACGTAATACTCAAAATACACGCGTTCCTAAAAACCCACAGACTTGTTGTTGGATCTGCATTAATTGTGTTCCTTTGCAGAAGCGGGAGAAGGAAGAAGAAAATGGAGGTGGACAGAAAGTCGACGGCAGTCAGAAGGAATGTGCAGTGGACTCATCGTTTGTGTTCGGGCAGAATATCAAAGAGCGAGCGAAGGTCAGCGCTTACTCACCGCTGCATTGGTTTCATTCTTTATTCGAAGGAGCAAATTGGCACGATAGAAGTTCCCAAGGAGAGTTTGTGTTTATTCTCCGATTCTGTTACTGTGTTTTTCTTGAGCAGTTGGATGAAAACAGCACATCCAGTGACTCAAAAGACTCCACACAAGATTCTCAGTCTGGCCGCACCAATTATTTCTTACAGTACATGGGCAGCGCTAGGTAACGATTCAGTAGAGCTCTATGAATCTGTTCGCTTTCTCTGGACCGGGTAAATCTGCATCTGTTTGCTTTTACAGCTCCAACAATGCCACCAACAGCTCGGATAAAGGCTCCAAGTTTGTTTTTGGCCAGAACATGTCTGAGAGAGTTCTGGTGAGTGGATACCATCACTAGTTTGCACAACAGACACATTGTTTGCCTGTTCAGCTTTTAAATGTAGCATTTGAAGGAATAATTTACCCAAAAATAAAAAAAACATTGATTTACTCCTCCTTTTGTTTTGCCTCAAAAAGACGTTTAGCAGAAAGTCCAAGCTGCTCTTTTCCATACAACTAAAGTAGGAAGTGACTCCATAAAAAGTTTTTATCATGGCTGAACCATTTCTTAATTTCAACAAAAACCAGTGAAAACACAGTAAATGGATCATCAGAGGTGTATAAAGATAGTTTTGTATGGGAATGATTTCAGAGCCCCCCAAAAGGAGGCGAGGTCCCAGTCGAGGCCAGTAAAGACGGTTCAGCTCCAGCATCCGAGCCGTCATCACAAGAGGCCACACCTGAGAAGAGTAGGTGCTCAACTCCATTTCACAGTGTGTGTATATATAACACACACATTCACACAATTCAGGGTTTCCGCGGGTCTTTAAAAGTTTTTAAAAGTCTTGCATTTAGTTTGGTATCAAATTTAAGGCCATAAAAAGTCTTAAATGGTACAAGAAAGTCTTAATTATGATTTCAGGAGGTCTTAAATTTGGGGATGGAAAGACAAGAATTGCGATACGGCTTAATGTGATTAAACTTCGATATGAGTGCTGCACGTTTCAAAGTCAGGTGCTGCACTGCTTTGTTTTACAGCCGTTACCGGGGAAACTACTGTATTTCTGCCTTTCCAAAAGCGCCACCTACTGGCAGAGATTGAGTTTGCATTTTCAATCTGCTGGTTTTGTTCAGACCAATGTGAAAATCAACCCATGTTTTACGCAGCAAACACAGAGTTGTAGACGTGAACCAGTCATCTAAACAATTAAGACACGAAGATATACATGTTATTTAATCAATATAATAATTGATTGATAATTGCTTAAATGAATATAATTGATACTTTTGACTCATCCATTTTCTTAAAAATTGTTTAAATTTCATATCAATAAATATCATTGTTTAAGTTATCATAGACATTGCCCTACCCCGCTCATATGGGGTTTATATGAAATTATATTAACTTTTAAGTACTATTTATTTATTATTTATATATCATTTTTTTAATACTATTTATATGTAATTATATATTTGTTTTATTGATATTTATATACATATTATTTTATATATATATTATTCTATATATGTTTGTTTATATATTATGTTTATTTTCATATGCATTATTCTATTTATATACATTAATGTTTTACATATACTATTAAAAATAATAAAAATACATTTAATTAAAATTAATAATTTAATTTAAAAAATGAATTTAAAATACATTTAAAGATTGCATGAATATTCAAGATACATTTAAGAGATATATATACATGAAACGTGATGTGAATTTTTTTTTCTTTCTGTCTCTGGTCTTTCATGTATTTCTAATCAGTTATTGTTTTGACACTTAGTTCTGATTGGCTGTGGTTTATGTTCCTTTATTCCTCAGTGAGAATAAAAAAAATAAAAATTACTTGATGCTGAGAACATGTTTTAACTTGACATTGGTCTTTCCAAAATCACACTTTGATTGTTTGGCTCAATGAATATTAAATTAATTATGTGACTGGATGGTCTGGGATTAGCAGTCAGTGTTGTCTTGCTCTAATTAATATTCATGAGTTAAGCCTTCACCATTATAGGCATGTCTGCTGCATTCAGTTCATCCTGAGCTGTTGAAGTGATATTTTTCTCTGTGTGTGTGTGTCAGATCACAGTGTAACGGAGTCTCTGGAAGAGTCGGCAGCTGCGTACACCAAAGCCACTGCCAAGAAGTGCATTCTGGAGAAGGTGGAGGTCCGTACGGGAGAGGAGGCGGAAAGCAACGTTTTACAGGTGAGATGACGTTTATATTTGAGCATAGTAGTCACAGCAAAAGTGTTGGGTTGCAGTCCACAATTTAAAGAATGTTCTGGATTCAGAACAACTTAAAGGATTAGTTCACTCCAGAATAAAAAGTTCCTGATCATTTCCTCACCCCCATGTCATCCAAGATGTTCATGTCTTTGTCTTCAGTCGCAAAGAAATTAAGGTTTTTGAGGAAAACATTCCAGGATTTTTCTCCATATAATGGACTTGAATGGTGGCCAACGGGTTGAAGGTCCAAACCGCAGTTTCAGTGCAGCTTCAAAGGCCTCTACACGATCCCAGCCGAGGAATAAGAGTCTTATCTAGTGAAACGATCGGTCATTTTCTAAAAAAAAAATTGATGTACTTTTTAACCAGAAATCCTCGTCTTGCACTAGCTCGACTAGGCTACAGATGCGTTTCATAGAGCTTGAGTTGAATTGACCCGAAACATTCTTTTAATCTATGCAGGCCTGTTTTTTTTCCTCAGTAAAACTTTGATGTCCTGATAATGATTTGACTTGTGTCCGTCTTTCCACAGATGCAGTGCAAGTTGTTTGTGTTCGATAAGCCAGCTCAGTCGTGGGTGGAACGAGGCCGCGGTCTGCTCAGACTTAACGATATGGCGTCCACTGATGATGGCTCGCTACAGTCAAGATTAGGTAGGAGCAGCGTCGATCCACTCGCTTTTCTCTAGAGCAGCTGAAATGTCTTGATGTTCCTCATCTGTGTCCGTCTGTCTCTTAGTGATGCGCACGCAGGGCAGTCTGCGATTGATCCTCAACACCAAGCTTTGGCCTCAGATGCAGGTGGATAAAGCCAGTGAGAAAAGCGTTCGAATCACAGCCATGGACACTGAGGACCAGGGCGTCAAGGTCTTCCTCATATCGGTAGGATGGACACCTCCATAACACAGGACATGCTTAGGTTTTTAATTGTATTTGTCCGTTAAATAATGCAACAGTTTGAAAAGCAACTCTGGTATCAGGTTTTACTGTTCACAGAAAATGTGGAAATATCAGGTGATATAAAAATGTTAGGCAATGAATAAATTTTTAAAATGTATTTGTTTATTTTATATATATATATATATATATATGTATATGTATATACAGGTGCATCTCAATAAATTAGAATGTCGTGGAAAAGTTCATTTATTTCAGTA